CTGCACAAAAGCATGGTGAAACATCATCATCAGAGGGACATTTGTATCCCAATACCAGACCACTGCATACGATAAGTACTGCAAAAACATTTTAAATATTATACTGTTATTTAAAAAAATCATTTTTAAGATTGGCTCCTTTTAAATATTTTATAACATATTTAATTATTTAAAAAATATATTCCATACAACTTTTATGTAGGTTTATTTGTTAATTTAGTTATAACTTACCTAATAATGGCAGTATTGACAACATGGCGTAATTAGTTGTTCAGCTAAGGGATTATAATTTTCAATAAGAATTAATTCATTAGTTGTTTGTCAAAGAAAATGATCGGTATTTATATACTAATTAATTTATGATTGCCTAATAGTAACTCAAATTTTGTCATAACCCTCAACTAATCCATAATAATCCCATCAATTGATTGCAAATACACACATTGATTGGGCTATAATCCCATATATCACAAAACATTATATAATTAAACATAATATTTTTTACTGGTTAATTCCCTTTGGACTAAACTTCAGTAATTGTTAATTAATATTAAATGGTTATTAATAATTATGAATAATTCAAAACAATATTTTACCGCTTTGTAAGTTCTCAAATTTATTTATTAGTAATAATTATGGTAATTATTTCATACATAAATAACTATTATATTTCATAATAGATAACATATTTATCTACAAATGATTAAATTTAATCAAATTTAATAACTTTATAATTCCCTTATACTTCCAAGAAAATTGTTATCATTAAAAGATGTATTAATGCTTTTATAATGATCAGTAATATTAAGTATCTTATATAGCAACTATCTACTATCTTTATTTAGTAACATTTATTTTATTTATTTGTATTATAAGTTATTCATACAATTACATTCTGGTATATTCTGTATATTATTAAATTTGATTATATAATGTCTCAGATAGAGGATATAAGAATAAAAGTACATTTTATATAATAATTTAAACAGCAATTCATTTCTAATAATATGTTTAAATATATGAAATATTAAGGTAAATACATTTTTTAATAAATAAACTGATTTGACCATATAATATTACCCATTAAGTATGACATTAAAACCGTTAAGCTTTTAACTTAATCCACTGAATTATATAGATATTTATTAAATAATTACTTTAAGTGCATATACAGTACTTTAAGTTCATACTGTAAGTATTTATTTAAAAACAAGGTAATAACTATAGAGTATACAGTAACTAATAACTACATTGTATAACATTAAATTTATAATTATATCCAGTATATGTAATTATAATCTGAGTTTAATGTTAATATACAGTATAAATTTTTGTTAGGTTAATATATCAATGATATAATATCATTTTATACAGAATAAATTGTTTTTATCATATTGAAAATATTATGCACATTTATTTGACAGATTTATATTCTAATATAATTATTTATATTATGTAATGATTAAATAATGCAAAAAATATTTAAATAAAAATTATTGTACATTAAATTAGTACCTATTATGTATGGTATGGGTTATAGGCTATAACTTATAGCCATGGGAACGCACATTGATATATAAAATTGACCTTATAAACATAGATTTCACACTAAAATAGTGGAAATAACAAGTATATTAAATAGTTTATCCGGTTAATTTCAAAAATGAAGTTAAAAATTCAAACCATATATAAATATATGTGTTGCGCAATATGTTTGATGGGATGTGTGTATCAAACGTATAAAATAAGTTTATTGTACTTTTCATACGAAACTACAACTAATATAATTTACGAACGCATGAGTGAAGGATTATTTCCGGGAATTACTGTATGTTTCAAAAAAGAGTTTATTACTATCTTAAGTAAATTCAAATCGCTGAACAATCGTAATGACTTCACTAATTACGATGAATTCATCAAACTTGCCATTGACCAACAAATGGCACAACTTGGTGATTTTACGAAATATATTCAGTGTGAGGTAGCTTTGGAATATAAGAAATTTCGGCCATGTGCTAATATTTCAAAATATTACGTTTCAATGGATTACCACACACTTTGCGTCACACTATTTAGCCAATGGGAACGCGAGTCAGACAACGGGTACGCCATATATCCCGGACATAAGTTACGGACCGAAAATAAATATTTGATGCAAATGACCATCATGAATAAGTCGATAATTGCCGACAATGTTCTAAGTGTGGCCATACATTCGCGTCGGGAGCGTTTATACAAATGGCGTACAAAGCAGCTTGTTGAATTTACGTTAAACGATCATGATGCGAGTATTATTTTGTACACCGAGCGCGTGATGAGAGATAAATCATTGGGCTATAGGAAAGGCGAGTGCTCTTTCCGACCCTCTCCTCGACAGTGTATGAGTGAATGCAAAATAAGGCAATTTATTGAAAAATATTCCCAACGTTTACCAGAATTTCTCACTTACAACGTGTCCAACAATACCATGAGTTTTGCAAACGAAAGTCACCAAAATGTCAATACTTATAATACAGTGTGCGCACACGAGTGCGAACGACCTGCATATTGTCGTGGTTGGTGGTTTACCATAACGTATAATTTAATAACGTATAAAACTGAGCGTGGTCTAATTGATGATGAATTTAACCTGTTGCTAAAATTCCCGACTCAACCCACTATTATAATTGAAAAGAATCTTAAAATGCATTTTGAAGAGTATCTATGTCTTATTGCAAGTGTATTGGGTTTATGGTTTGGATTTAATATGGTCATGCTTATTGATGTTTCAGAATTGATTGCAATCAAGGTAGCACACAACCTTAACTTTAGAAAGATTGCGAGTATTTTTAATATTAATAAGAATACTATCAAAAATAAACTGTACATTAATTTTAGATTAAGAAGATAATTTTTATTATACGGAATATTAATATTGATTGCTATTTCTATTATGACATATCTTTTGCTTATTATAAAACTAACCAAAATAATCAATAACTTATTAAATACAACTACTAAAATACAATTATTTAAAACATAATAAAAATGTATGTATAGCTTTAAATGTAAACCGTGTCCCATATATATGACCCTACTTTATGGCATTTACATTATACATAATTTTGCCATTTTGCTAAGTATTTTGTCTACCAATAACTAGTAGAATTTAAAAGCAAATAATACACGTTTAATTTGGTATGCCTTAAATAATAATCGATAAACCCTACGTTTACCAGGAACAATTTTATTGTTAAAATATCATATTTCAAATATTGTTGATTTTGTGACCTAGTCTAATTCTGGATATACTAGTTGTAGATGGATGATATTGATTCAATTAAATAATCATTATGTGTAATTAGTTAATTTAACATAATATTTAATTTATCGTCAATATACTTTCCTTGGTGATTTTATTAAGCAAGTAGTCTTTTCTATAGGATTTTATTGAATAATTCACAAAAATGTAAATATTTTAAATATTGCCCCTAAAATTCTCGGGAGTTTAGGGAAATCAATTATTGGGTATCAGAATTTAAAGTATAGCTTTTACTCATTTGAAAGCATCCAAGTTTATTAAAATCGGTCTACAGATGCCTGATCTACACCTGATTAAGATATTGTAGTCATATAATGGTTTTCTATGGAAAAACACAGTAGGGTCATATATATGGGACAGTCTGTATATATTTAATTATAATTGTTTTAATAATTCTTTAATAATTTTATCATAATGATTTATTGTACTTACTGTCACTCAATGTGCTCATAATGCATTTAATATAAGGCATTTAATAGTCATTCTATCTTGTAATGTAACATTGCAACAGGTGGATTATAAGTGTGCTTGATAATATTCTAGTATAAATACTCTCTTCATTGAGCAAACTTATTAATAATAATAAGTAATAATAAGTTATTATAACACTTTTAACAAATAGCCTAATTATTTAATAACACAATGATTTATTATTTTAACCTATTTGTATTATGCTCATTGTATGGACTGTCCTCATGTAAGAGATTATCATATTAAATCAATTAATAAAATACATTAATTAAAAATATTAATATTTAATAAAATAAACAATTAGAAATCGCAACTAATTGCATTAAAATCATTTATATAAATCATTAAAAATACTTTAATTAAACAGGTTTGCATCCATTGATATACTGCAATGACCCCTATTTTAATACTACTTTGAATGTCAACGCCGGAGCCAATGCCGCGCCCGTTAACTACACTATTGATGAATATAAGGGCCAAATACTGGTGTATATAGAGGAATTGGCCGCCTTATTGGCTGGGGCTGAGGTCGAGTACCCCAGACATAACATGCAACCCATAGCAGATTTCTTTGTGGCTGTGGGTAAAGTGTTGGACAAGGAGGTGCCCACAGCGTATACATTTTTTGACAAAGCGACCAACAAAACATTTCAAATGGACGCCTACCGTAAACTGACCAGGGCCTTACAATGTTTGCATAAGCGTGGTTTGGAGAGGGCAGTTGCGTGGGCTGGACACGAGGTTAATGTGACCGATACCGAGGTGAAATTAGCGCAGAAATTGAAGGGCATGTCCGATGAATTAATTGGGTATCTGGCAATGGCGGCCCAACTCCAGCGCGATAGTGGCCTACCGTTTTGGCCTGACTTTCACGATAGGGTAAATTTTTATAAAATTAATTTTATACATTTTAAATATAGTTGTAATAAATATTTATTGAGTTTATTTATTATTCAGGTGAAAGCGTTTTTAACTGAACATATTGCTTTATTTAACGCCAGTGTTTTAAAACTAACCACACCCGCTATGCGAGCTGTAAATTATCAACAAATGTATAACACATTAGAGATATTGTTTGCTATATAAACAATGTACTAGATGATTTTGATGAAATTATTAAATAAAAACTTTGATTAAACAGTAAATTATTTAACAATTTTTATTGCATTTTTATTATTGTCTTAAAATTAATACTGACAAGTTTTGTTTAATCCTTTAATGTTTTGGTTTAAAGTGGTTATATAATAGGCTATTAATAGCAGCGACCAGGTGATTCACCAAGATGATTTCATTATATACAGACTTATACGCTACGAATTAATCCCAATTTGTAAACACTTCTCAATGGATACATAAAAGCGGCCAGGATTGAAAATCCCAACCACATGCCCCATAAACCGCCCAAATTGGCCATAAAGTCAATGAATGTCATTTCGGGCATATTCTCGGTCTCCTGATCGGGCAGTTGGTTGTGAACGATGTAGACCTCGGAGTACAGGGCGTCTGTCCTATCGAAGGCCCGCTGAGCGAGTGTGTAGTGACGGTTCACGCACTCACTCGCGCACTGGTCTTCGCACCGGGCGTTGTGTTTGTAGTAAAGTCTTTCGTGACATTTCACCAATTGCTCACTGGCGGTGATGTTGTAAGTAAAGTCATCAGGATTGATTGGGGGCGAGAATTTTTGTTGCGCGAACTCGCACACCCGGGGCATACCGGCCGCACCCGGTAGGCTGTCCACACGCCATAAACGCAACGACACGGGTATGCATTGGCGGCAGTCATACGACGTGGTAAGGTTACACTCCCCGCAGTGATCTTGGCGATTTAATTATTTGTAATTAATACTTAAAATTTATAGTTATATTTAAATATCTATATTTAATACCAAGGATAGTAATGTTTAACATTTAATCGCTAAACACAAATTATCATGCAAAATGTTGTTACAACATACCCGTCCAGTATCGATAGAAACAATGATTGAGACAATCGGACCGTAGCTTATAAGCCGAACTCTGGCCGTCGAGGTCGTAGTCCTCGCACGCGGTCTCATAGGGCGGCGGTTGTAATACCGTTTTCCACCGCTCGTAAGCCTTATCCACTTCCCGCCCAATGGGAACACCGAAGAAATAGTTAATGTTTAAATACACGGGCAGAACATTAGGCGAATGCATTGCAAAATTGATCATGTACTTCCATTTATGAGTTAGCGGTATCCATCGGTAATCGACCGAAATGCGCATGGTAATCTTTTCTATGCGAACCGCGTAGGGTCTCCACGTTTTATTTAAATGGCTAAAAAATGTGAAACACTTTTCGCACGAGTTAACCTCGTTAAATGATACCATTTCAATAGGAGCTAGATCTGTTAGCTCAACGGGTTCCATGCTGCCATTTAAGTGTTTGCGAACACCTTTTACCTTGATCACTATTGGGTACTGTTTAACACCGAGTAAATCAATAAACGGTTTAAACGGTATACTGATGTTGAGCAGGCTATCCAGTGGCACGTCGCGCATCTGGTACAATTTTTTGGTAAATTTAGCGTAATATTTATAGTAGAGGTTTGCAATAAATGTTTCGTTGTAATATTGTGTCATGGTTAGATTGCCCGCAATTTTCCAGTAAGCGTTATAATGTGAACGCAATTCACGGTATTTATCGGCCATACGCTCCATAGAGAGCAGCGTTGGATAGCATACGGTAAATGCGGGTATCGATGAATACGACTTTTGGGTAAACTTAATGCTAACTAATGTCTGATGTTTACCAAACTGTAGCACCAGTTGTGTTGTGTTAATAATAAATCCAGTGAAACAAATCACAACAATCGCCACCTTTAAGGCCAGTTTATAGCGGGCTTTGGGAGGCATTTGTCGCCACCGCTGGCGCCAGCTTTTTATTGGCGATTGTTTTTTGTGACCAACTTTTGATGCATTTAATTCAATATTTTCTGGCATTCCTGTCGTTTCACTAATAAATTTAAATTATATTATTTTATCTACACACTCGTTATGTAGATATTTGTTAAATTAGTTTTTTATAACATAAAGACAAATAGTTACTAGACCACACTGTATTTTGCATTTAATAAGATGCATGCTTTATACAATATTTGAAAATATAGTTACTTGAACACTATACTTACATATGCATAATAAATAATATTGTTAATCACATAATATTAATTTAGTTTAATTATTTTTTATTTGAGAATTATTACTTGTTTGGTACATATTTTTCAATAAATATTTATGATTTGAATTAAATGCAATATTTAATTTAAAATTCATTCAGATAGTTTATTTGATCTGACTTATTAGATAAGCATTACTACATTTTGATATCACTATTTTCTAAGATATGATCATAATCCAATTCTTTGTATTTCACCACACCCGAGCATAAATTATTATAACATAATAAATGAAATCACATGCATAATTTGTTTTGTTAATGATCTATTTATATACATTTATATGTAAATTTGTGTTTATATTCAAGTTAAAGTATACAGTGTGTACCCATTATTATACTATTATCATGTGTTTACACATTAAGATGATGTCTTAACATAAACATTAGACAAAAGTAATGTCGACTATAATCATTTAAAAAATAATACATGTTAATAGTGGCCGTCACTACTTTTATATTTAACGTATAAAGTTTAAAATATTTAAAATTTGTATTGTACCACCACTCTATTGTATAGTAAACTATTCATCTGTTAAAATAACGTATTTTTTATTAGTTGTGTTTAAAAGTATAAAAGTTGTTTTATATTAAATGTAAAGCTCGATACAAAGTATAACACTTGACATCTTGGGTTTTAGAAGGTATTTAAAGCAATATTTTAAAACATATTTTTACATTCTGCATTACAGTATTTATAGTTTAATACAATCTATTTAATGTCGCATTTATGTAACGAAATTATTTTTGAGTCCATATGTCTATTTTGTACGTATTGAAAATAGTGAATGAGTGAACAATCGAGAGAGAGAGAGAGAGAGAGAGAGAGAGAGAGA